TACTAAGTACATTTGGATTGTAGTATGATGCGTCAACATAACTTCAGTGATGGTTGGATGGCTCATCACATCTCTTTCCTACCTTATCATACTAGTGACACATTCGATGATATAATGATACTGGAAAGGAAAGGTTGAGCTATGCTATTTTTACTATAGAACAATCATGATCCACAAGATATATTTATGATAGATATTTTTAAGAGTGAAAGAGCTCGACCGGAGTGTTACCACGGCCTCACAGAAAACCGGAAACAACGTTTGCGTTGTGTTTCGTCGTGTGAGGTTACCGGACGCCTAATTACAACCCCCTCCCCTTCCCCAATCCCTGAATCTCAAACCACCCTCAAATTCCTAATCCCAAAAGGCCGGTAACGCAATTGTAACGCCTCTAGTGTTACAAGTATACATAGGTGCCGCCAATTGCTTATCATCAGGTGACCCGTCTGCTAGATTACCGGCTTATCCTATGAAAAAAAATGTTGTATGTGTACTTAAGTTACCATCAGACGTCCCGTAAGCTTTGCTGCTGCATCAGAAATATACTTACGTAAGTATTTGTCATAATAATGTCGAACAACCAAAAATTCGTGACAATTTAAATGTTGATTCTATGCAAATTCTTATAATTCAGAGCACCCATAAATTTTAGCGGAGACGCAACAACTCATAGTTTTCTCAGAAATTTAATTCCTTGTCTAAATTAAAGATCTATACAATATTAACTACATACCTAGGTGGATTTTTTCTTTTCAATCTGATTATGTTTCTGTGAAGGATTATGAATAAACATGAATTTGTTGAATATGGTATTAATAATTCAATATTATTGACCAACATGGTTGCGAGGTCAAGCTCCAGTTTGCTTCAATACAAACTGGTTTTAGCCCCAACGTTTTTTTAACCTTTGCCTTTGAACCAATTTTATTTTTATTGCTACTCAGTTTGCCCCTGACTACCTGTTGTATAATAATCAGGTTTAGAGTATTATAAAATTAAACTGGCTAACAGTTTATCAGGTAGATATTTTTTACATAGTCGACAAAAATATTGGTAGCTATGTAAAGATCGGTGGAAGCGTAAGGCTTCCTATTGGTTTCATTACATTTCATGATCCATCTTATTAGGTAGGTACCTACTTTAATATGAAACTTAGAAAAGATAGTTTTTCTTTATATGTTCTGTGGTTTTTCATAACATTCTACGTGACGATTAGAAAACAACTGTAGGTATCAAATTGAAAAAAATAAAAAATTCACATGAGACAAATACATGTACCTAACACTCGTGCGAAAGTGAGGTACGACCGTACGTACGGTGCGTAATAAAAATCAACATGTACAGTCATTAATTTAAAAATACAATTTGTTTGGGTATAGTTCTTTTATCGTACAAGCGCGGGTGAGCCATAGTTGTAGTTGTAGTGCGTATTGACACGCGCGCTTGTGTGCGTAACTAGCAGCAAGCTCATTTATTGGCATGCCAGAGTTGCCAGACGAAACGTTCCCGAGCGGACGCAACGCAAACAAAGACATTTACTCACACAAGTATGGCATACCCGTGCCCGTAATAAAACATCTATACCTACTCTCTAATTTGATAATAAAATAAGTAGAGTAATTTACTAGATATAGAATAATAGCATAGAAGTAATTTTCATGCATGAACTGGGATGATGACAGGGTATGAAAATTTAAAATCTAATTAGTCCGTAAGTTAGGCAATGAAAAAATATTAGACACGTATTTTTATTTTGTCGTATAATAAAACAATACTTAGATAAAACGAATCAATAATAGATAATAGATAAAACGAATCAAAGTTTAGGAGTGGGGGCTAAAAAGTAATTTCTATGTGTAAAATGTATACCTATAAAGGTGAAGTCACGCGGCATTTTAAATCAATATATCGTCGAAAGTATTCGTTTCTGTAGGAAAAAAAAAATTACGTGTCTAATGATTTAAAATAATCTACCAGACGGACATTGAAATAAAAATTAGGCATCTACCCTATTGTGTTTATTGGACTAACCTTAACTGACCTTGGTCGGTGCTTCAAGAATTTTAAGATTAGGTCTCTTGTTGGTAGATAACTAGATGTAAGTGTATGATAACCAGACATGCGTATCACGAAGTTTTGATATGGTTTAAGAAAAATACATATGGTTAAATTGTAGAACATTTTTAAAGAGCCTAGAGGTGACAGTGGTGTTAAATATTTTGTAAGATATTTAACTGGAATTAAAAATGTCTTAAGCAAGGAGAACTTTGCCGATACGGAGCCGCTGAGAACGTAAAAGGCTCGAAGTTGGTTTTTAGTCAGCAAGAGTCTGACAATCCCTACTGCTTCACCCAGGCGAGAGAAGTCATTCGATGATTATTTGATGATAAAAAAGGCAAAGAAAACTTATACTTACTAAAGCAAAAGAAGGGAATGGGATATCTATGTCAAAACCTAAGCTTAATAATAGTTTTATAGTACTTATCTTATACTCAAAGATTGACCCCATGTCACACATTGTGTCTCACAGAATCCTGCGTTCCGGACCTCAAGTTAAGCGATTGCAATACCAATCCGTAGACTAGCAAATAAATCCTTACCGCACGTCACTAAACCAAACCATCACGAAACAATTAAGAATTGGGTTTAAAGACCATAAATGTTAACTAGGAGTTTATATTTAAATTATTTATACGTCAGTTACGTTGTTCTATGCTATCGATAACCTACATACGACTTGATTGCCGGAATCACTATAAAACGTAAAGTTCATGTGTTTTATACTGTACCTACATACGATTACACTTCAAGCTATAAAAACCAGTATAAATTGAGCGTTAAACGTGCAGAAAGATCTTGTTAAGAGAGGTCATTATAGAGTGGTTACTTTTTGCTCGATGTAGTATGAAGTGGTACCAGGAATTTGTAATAGTTATTTAATAATGTTTGTATTATGAATAGGTACATTAAACATGCCACCTATTAATTGAAAGATTTTTGAAAGAGCTCAGTCGTTTTTGCCTTTACCTACTTAGTTGCGTTAGAGTGACGCTTTATCTATATCTCCTATCTGGCCTATTATATGGGACTCGTAACATTAAATTGTGAAAAGTAGTATAGTGGCATTAAGTATTGTTAAAAATGCTTATGGTTACGACATGAGCAATAACTTATCCAGTTAAGGTACTAACTTGGACAAATCAAGCGATGAACGCACAAAGACTGCTAACTATTAAGTCATCAATTAAGTATTAATTACCATAACAATCTAGTAATCTAAGAATTTTCCTTTCAATTCTTTAAAAGGTAACATTTATCTATCTTATTATAAGCTTTTAATTTCTTTTATATGGATATAGGTATGTTTAGTCATAACGTTGAACGGAGGTGAATTATTTATACAAAGAAAAATGCAGTGAAACACACTCGATTATTTGATATCGATTAAGGTTCCCACAAACATGTCATTCGTAACCCAAACATGATCACCATCCATTAACTGTGAAGTTAGTAAACTTAGCTAAGAGTATCATTTTTGTACTTTTTGGTGGCGATTGCTTATTAGGTGATTCGTGTCACAGTTCGTATGCCACAAAAAAGTCGTATGTTGAGGGAAAAATAATTTTAAGGCTTTCTTCAGAAGAAACACGGAAAAATAAATTTACCCACGTAATATGTAATCACTTCACTTTAGGTTTTTCTTAATAAACTTTTTAAGTGTGGGAGAGCCATGCTCCGGCACGAATGGGCCGGCTCGACCGGAGTGATAATACGCCTCACAAAAAACTGACGTGAAACAACGTTTTCGTTGTTTTTCGCCGTGTCAGTGAGATTACCGGAGGCCCAATTACCCCTCCTACCTTCTCCAATCTCCCCAATCCGTGAATATCAAACAATCCTCAAATTTGTAATCCCCACAAGGCAGGCATGTAACGCCTTGATGTTTCAAGTGTACATGGGCGGCGCCGATTGCTTACCATCAGGTGATCCGTCTGCTCGTTGACCGGCTTATCCCATAAAAAACCTTGATTTACAGTGTCTTAAATCGTTTAGCTAAGAGCTAGTCAGTGCATGCGTACTCAGTATTTATATGAACAATTTTATTTAAAAATGTTGTTATCTAAACATCTGCAGCTCAATATAATCCTAATTTAAATTCATAACTTTAGCGCAAGGCCAGACTAATCTTGAAGAAAAAAACTGCGGCTAATAGGCTAGATAGCTTGTAATAATCTCATGAAATAGACAATTTGTATGGCACCATAGAGTCTAGCTACAAACCTATTTGTCAGTGTTGTTAATAGGCCATTAAAGCATTAACTCATTTGGTAGATAAATATTTATGAAACTCGTACTTGTTAGCGCACTAAACTTATCTAGATAGCTACGTAGTTGATTATAAACAGAGAAGTCATTATAACAGCATTCCTATGCCTTAAGCAGTAATTTCTACTATTTTAATTAGTATATTTATAGTTATGTAGTACGTATGCAATTTTATAAGTAAAAGTTGTAAAATGGTAGATGTTGTAAACAACGCCATCTAGCGGGGAGTAGAATCACCAATGTTTACGATAAACAAGTTGTCATAGTAGCGCCATCTAGTGTCTAGCGGAGAAAAATAACGTTTATCACTTTTTGAAGTTAACTGAAATTTTTCAGCAATTCTAGCGCTGATATTGGATTTAGAAAATGTAGATTTTTTGTTATGTTATGTAAAAAATATAGCTAGATATAAAAATGATTTTTTTCTGGATCGGCCGTCTGCCTTTGTTTACAAAGTTCAAAGGATATCCTAAACATCCAATACCAAGAATATTTACGTTGGTTATTTGGTGACTTCAACAAAGTTTTTGTCAACGACGAATTCATAAACAGCGAACATCCGCTATAGGTACCGTGTACCGTGATCCCTCCAATTTTTTAATTCCTCACTCTGAGCCATCGGGTTCAGGCGGTATCGTATCGTTGGATCGTCAGTCAGCGATTGCCCAGCGCGCTCCACGAACGCGCGGCCATTTCCCGCTCAATTTCAAATCTCGATCGAATCGAACATAGACACGATAAAATTTTGTGTTCTTTTTAAATTCGAACTATTTTATCCCTGTTCTTTTTTTAAACGATTATTTTGAAGTGAATAGTGTTGTGCAGTGTTTTTTGTTTTTCGATAAAATTGTTTTATTTTTGACGATAATGTTTTCGGATTTATTTTTCTGCATCATTGGCTAGATTAGCCGCACTGAATATTTTTTGGTAAGTAGAGTTTTTTTTAATCTTTATTGTACTTTAGGCCACATTTTCAACTTGTTTATTTACTTAGAAATTTTAACTTCGAAAGTTTATCAGTGCAAGTGTAAAATACTGGTGCACGGGAAATAGATAAGACCATTATTATTTATTATTCTAAATGGACACACTTGATTCCGTAATTAGTTAATAAGTGTTACATTATTGAACATACATTTTATTGCCTTGATAAGTTAAAGAAGCCGGCTAGTTGGGAGTTACATAAGCAAAAAAAAAAATAAACAACAGAACTCATTAAAAAGTATACGATAAGTAAACAAGTAAGTACAGCAAATTGAGTGAATTCCTTCTGATAAAAGTAATTGAATATTGCATCTGTTACGAATTGATGTTTTCTTATTGACATTTTTCTTCTAAAAATATTCAGCACTTTTTTTTATTTTATGTTAATCTCATTTTTGTTCCCTTAACTATTAGATAAATAATATAATAAGTCCTGCGTTAATTTTAAAACGGTAATAGAATGTATTTTTAATTAAATTTTTATTGTTCTTAAATAAAGTTTAATAGCATTCTATAAATAAAATTCAACTAGATGGACCAGGACTTCAAAAGAATCGATTTAATATTTAATATTTAAATATGAATATTTAAATTCAATAGAACAACATAAAATTTAATGGCACACACATGTATATTCATAAAAGACATTTTATTATTTTTTATTTACCGTAGAAATGAAGGCACCTAAGTAGTATTATTTCACCTAAGTAGTATTATTAAAAAAAAAAAAAAAAAAAAAAAAATTATTTCCATTACATATCTGGTTAATTAAACGCAGTCATATTAACTGGGTGGTCTCATAATTATATAATTATGAACACTATATTGACGTGATTGTGCACTCAAAAGGCCATGCAGTACAAAAAATAATCTTCATACAAAACTTTTTCTCGATTCTTCTAGTCCTAGTTATTAGCATATGGAATTTTAATTATATAGGTAATTTAATTACGCTATTATCAGAAATATGCGCAAAGTTAAGTAGAAAAAAATACAATACTTAAACACATAATCTGCATTATTACGTAAATCGTATCGCATATTTGAAAACATTAAACGACCTTACGCAGACTTACAAATACATAAAACAAAATAAAACAATATCGACCAATCTTTTAACAATCAAATACTTATGAAAATACTGTATCACATATAAAACAAAAATACGCATTTCTAATTACACTAACGCACCCTTATTTCAAACACTATCGACAACTCGATCACAACACTAAAATAAGAACAACAAATGGAGTCACAAAATGTTACCCAGTATCACAATGACTGCACATTTCTTCTTTACAGCTATAATCTGCAAGTCAACCTACCCAAATCTGCCATTTTATTCATTGAATTTTAGACTTAATATTAAAAGAATAAAGTGGATAATGTAATGAAATAATTTGATAGAAAGAAGTGGTGCGACCTGCTGGTATCTGCACTACACTGTTATCAACGCCTTGACCTCTTACACGTTGCTTGACATATGACCGATAAGATGTAAGTTCCGTAGTAAGTTAGCGCCAAAATATTTTAAATTTTAACGTCATTGTGTTCAAAATGTGTTTTATTGTTTGAGGTGAACTTTTTTACACATAACATAACATAACATCACGCCTTTTATCCCCGAAGGGGTAGGCCGAGGTGCACTTTATGGCACTGTACAACGTAACACCCACTTTTCACTATTTATGTTATGAGTCCCATGTAATAGGGGGTGAGCCTATTGCCATAATACCGGGCACAGTTCCAGATTCTTTGCTATTACTGAGATTTTTTTAAAAACCCCGTAATACTTTGCCCGACCCGGGAATCGAACCCGAGACCCCTTCTACGTATAAAATGTACATAGAAGTTACGTCACGCGACATTTCAAATCAATATGTCGTCGAAAGTATTCGTTTCTGTAAAAAAAAATAAAAAATACGTATCTAATGATTTAAAACAATCTCACCAGACGGACATTAAAATAAAAATTAGGCATCTACCCTATGGTTTTCGGAACAAAATCGTAACTAATGAATAGTTTAAGTAATCATTGAATGTCTCCGAGTATCGCAGTAAGTCTTATAAATCAGAGAATTTGATACCCGACTCGGCTAGAAATAGCATAACGTGAATAATGTGAATATATTGACCTGATAAAGGATCTCACAGTATCTTTAAATAAGATGAAGATTTGTAATTTTCCAAGGAGAGCACACGCAGTTTACCTGAATTAACATGTAGGTAATACAGGTAAAATTATATACATAAAATAATTAAATATTGTTTTACAACTGCTCTGCCTCATTGGCCGAGTGTTCGCAAGTGCGACTGTCGAGCAAGGGGTCTCGGGTTCGATTCCCGTGTCAGGAAAAGTATTTGTAGGTTTTTAAAAAATCTCAGTAAGCACGAAGTCTGGAATTGCGCCCAGTGTATGGAAACAGGCTCACCCCCTATTACATGGGACTCATAACATAAATAGTGAAAAGTGGGTGTTACATTGCACAGTGACATTAAGTGCCGCAATGTGCATCTCTGTCTAGCCCTTCGGGGATAAAAGGCGTGCTGTTATGTTATGTTATGTATTATTTACAAATTACTTCAATTGTTGTATAAATACAATGCACCATAATTTATCTTACTACTTTAAAACTAACATAGGAACATTATCCGTCAATTAAAAACCTTTGGACCCTCGTGTGACACTGTTTGTCGTCATAGTAATTATATGCAATAATAGTAAGATAACATAACAATTATACCTATTACTTCAAACGGTAGAGAGATGAATCTATTCTAATACTCCTCTGATAAAAATCTGTAGTTTTATCAATCAATATCTAGTTATAGGTTCATCTTGTTTCCCGGTGACTGAGTGACGAGTAAACCCTAAGCTACTAGCTATGTCGCGGAGAACCTAACGGGTAACCGGGGCTTCGGCTCGGCGTGCAGGAGAAGGAACGGGGTGGTTTTTAGTCAGTAAGAGTCTGACACTCCCTCCCGCCTCACCCAGGCGGGAGCAGTCATTCGATGATTTTCCCCCCTTAAAAAAAGCTACTAGCTATAGACGGAAATAATAATACGTAACTTTTACAAGGAAGTATTAAGGTAGGATTTGCCAAAATTTGTTCGCCATGAGAATGAGACGAGGCTTCACGCGCTTATAGAGTTACAGACAAAGGCGAGTGTTTAAACAAAAATTTTAAACACAATCAATAAACGTCTAGGTTTACAAAAGTACCGAGAACAATTTCCGAAAAAAATAAAACAAAAAGGTCACACAATAGACATTCAACAGCCGGTGAATGAATTTGTAGTGAAAAGTGTGAATAGGTACTTTATACTTACAAATCAAATACAATCGGTATACATTCTTAAATAATCAGTTGGTCACATGTTTATCTATAAGCTATTATAATGATAGAAACATTACATAATGTCACACTGAATAATCCACGTAGGAATAGATACTTAGCTTGTCTCCTACTTAGCAGCTCTCCCGCCTTGAGTTAAGCAAGAGAGAGTACCAGACTCTTACTGACTGAAAGCTACTCCGTTCCTATTCTCGTGCTCTTCAAGCCGGAACCCCGGCAACCCGTTGGTCTTCCGCGACTCAGATACTTAGCCCATTACAGAAAGGGTGACCGGCAGAATGTACAAAACACAGCGAATTGAGACTAGCCCCCTAATAACAAATCATAGTTATAAAAAGAGCTTTCTGACGACATCCGTCATCCTCTAAGAAAATTTGAAAAAAAAAACATATAATACTTTTTCCGACTCGAAATCAAGCTCAAGACCATTTGCATTCAGCCAACAATCGCGGCAGTCTTAAAAACATACGTATCCAAGGAAAAGCGAGTTACAACCTTTTTTAACTACCCCTCTTAAGAAGCAAAACCATAGTATTGTTACAAAATGGTCCTAAACACAATAAGAACCACCCATTTCCTTACAGTAATAAAACAAGTACGGAAATAGCAACATGCATTATGCGATATTGTTTTATGGTACAAATAATACTCTGAATTCTACCTCAACCACGGAAATGTTTTCGATTATGACATTTTTATCGCACGTGGCTTGTAACTTATAAGGTATTGTGTGGTTTATACCCATAGGAAGACTCCAGGCTACCTCACTCGGCCGAGTGGTCGCAAGTGCGGCTGCTGGGCAAGACGTCTCGGTGCGATTCTCTGGTCGGGCAAAGTATTAATGGGTTTTTTTTAATTCTCAGTAGTAGCACGGAGTCTGGAATCGTGCCCGGTATATGGCAATAGGCTCACCCCCTATTGGGTGGGGGGACTACATGGGACTTACAACATAAATAGTGAAAAGTGGGTGTTACATTGAATATTTCTGTGCATGTACAGTGGCATAATGTGCACATCTGCCTACCCCTTCGGGGATAAAAGGCGTAATGTTATGTTATGAAGACTCCAGTATTATTCCAAGATTAGACGAATAGTTTTTCCTATGGATCTCGAACCGTTATCTACCTCATTGGAGATATTATAAAATCTATCTATCTGTTCCTAGATAGTTTCTTTCTTTTCAATTCATTGACATATATTTGTCTATCCTGACCTTCTCTTTACTAGTTTCGTGTTAGTTTCAATGAAATTCGACTGTACGCCAGTATTTTAACATAAATAGATTCCCATCTGCTCTACTCAACCTACTGAGGGTGATACCATATGCTTAATAATTCTCATTTATAGTTTTGTCGTAGCTCTTACGTCTCAGTGTATCTACATTTTTATCTATTCCTTCTAGGATTAAAATAGGATAAGTTATATCTATTATATAAGAAAGAAAATCCATTTTTTACGCCACGACACACAACAAGAATACAAGTACACACAAACAGCCCATGGTGCGTCGCAGCGCAAAAGGCTGGAGCTCAGCTTAATACTTTGGAATGGGCACAGAGGCTCGAGTCCACGGCACTGATTTTAAGC